CTAAAAAGCTGGCAGGACACCTTGTCGATGTTGCTAGCCGGCCGGGGGGGGGTTCCGTGTCGATGTTGCTATGCATAGCTATGATACCGGTACCAGCACCTGTACTACAGCTGTAGTATCATATGTGAAAGAAAGGCCGGGTTGGGGATCCTCCATGGTTGGGAGATACCGGTACGTGTATGTACATGTCACGTGTTTCGACTGACTCGACTCCACAAAATTAGAAAAGTGACTTCCGAGTCACAGTTTCACTCTCTTATTCAGTTTCAACGAATATTCAATTCAGTCACTCTTGGAAAAGCTTTAAGTAACAATGCCCAAAACCAGCGTGACGGGTGTAAACCTTTACAATGCTAACCCGCCTGCAAACCTTGGTTGGTATTTACTGTTATTACTTACTGTGTCGAGGGGCCCAAAAGTAGCAGTAATTGCAGTAATTCAGTAATTACTCAGTAACAGTACTATAGGTCAGTAATCTGGCCTAGTGCCAATGGCAGTAAAAGTAAAGGAATTACTGTTTACACAGGAATTACTGCAGTAATTTCAGGAACTGGCCTGAACAAGGGCCATGGAGGCCACCACAAACAAGTATTAGGGCAACATGAGTTGCAATCCAGCTTCAGCAAAGGAGGCAATGAAGCTTCCTAGGCCCTCTTGGTCCTCTTGGAGGGGGGGTTCTGCTTCTCAGCACTGGTTTTGGGGATGAAGCCACCAGGGATCCACATGTTCCAATCTAGATTGTCATCTAGACAATCACGGCTGCCCAGGACAACCTCGATCGTTGGATCAGGGAACTTCTTGTAGTACCGCAGACCTTGCACCTCTATGGTACCCGCACGGCAGATCTATAATAGTTTGAAGGATATGGTACGGGTACCAGTACCGGTAGCTCCAAGAGGTGATACCCTGCTGCTAGTAAAAAGCAAGCAAATAAGCAGGCTGCGAGAGTTGCTGCTGCTGCTGCTGCTGTCATGCGAGTGTCTTGCTCCTCTACCGGGGACGGTACAGCAGAGCGATCTAGTTTGAATGATGCTAGCTCCAAGAAGTGCTACACTGCTGCTGGTAAAATGCAAGCACATAAGCAGGCTGCGAGAGTTGATGCTGTCACACTACTGTAGTGTTATCTCAGTGCAGATCATGCAGATAGTTTGAATGATACGGTACGAAGCTCCAAGAGCTGCTACCCTGCTGCTAGTAAACACCAAGCAAATAAGCAGGCTACAAGAGTTGCTGCTGTTAAGAGAGTGTCGTCTCACCGCAGATGCTATCTGCAGATCTATTAGTTTGAACGCTACCGTTATGCATACTAGTAGCTCCAAGACGTGCTACCCTGCTGCTAGAAAAAAGCCAGCAAATAAGCAGGTCGCGAGAGTTGACGCTACTGATATCGCCATACCGGAGTTCCGGAGTAATCCACCGGAATCCTAGGAATTCCGGCCGGAATCGTGCATGCCTTTAATTCCGGTGACGTTTTACGGTTACCTTTCCGGTTGTTCTATAGAATTCCGGAATCGTACCGTAAGTAGCCAGTAATCCGGAATTCCGGCAGTAATTACCAACCAAGCTGCAAACCCTCAACCCTCAACGCTCAATTCGGTTTTTTCAGCGTTCGTCTCTTGATTCCTTAGTTCCAGCTCCCTCACTCAGTTACCTCACATTCGCGATCCTATATGACGATTGCTATGCAACCAACCGAATTGTTTCAGCATTGTAGCCGGCTTGCCGTAGTAGTATCGTGACCAGTGGCAACAGTACCGAACACATCAGGTTCGGCTTTGTTCGCTACACTCGGTACAAGTACTCGTATTGGATCCGTATGACGAATACGCACAACCGAAGATTGTCAATCCAGCCTTTGTAGCCGGCTGCCGTAAAGTTACATCGACGACAGTCAACAGTAGTTACCGAACCACACTACGCTCAGGCGTCGGTTTTGCTTGCGACTCA